AAAAAAAAAAATTGATTTTCAACAAATAATCATGTGCACGTGGGAATGATTGGCATCCGTGATATCACACATTTAATTGTTGACTTTGGATAGATTGATAGGTTCATTATGGCTGGCACGTTTGGCTAATAATAATTATTTTTTTGGCTAATCACGATTTATTTTTTTTGGAATAATAATTATATAATTTTTTTGGAATAATAATTATATAATAATAAAATAGGCACCACGAAGGCAGTGTTGTGAGATAATGGGAGGCTCCGGTCAACGGGACGGCGTCGTACAGGTCAGAATAAGGGCCTGCAATCAAGGGGAATCAGTAACGCCGCCGTAGATGGCGGTGGCCGGCCGTGACACTTAACAGAGAAAGTGGGAGCGTTACAAGAAAGAAAAATGGGGATATTTGACAACTAATGTGTTAATATACTAATTATAGAGGTTGGTAATAGGTGGTTTTCGTTTTAGCTGTTTTTATTTTGTTTTTAATTAATTTTTTAATGAGTTATTTGATGTTTGCAAGCCTTTCTTGTAACTAGTATTTATCAGTGTTCTAAAAGTCGCTATCTAGGTATCCGTTAAGCGCTCGACCAGCGCCTAGGCCGGGCCTAGGCGGTGCCTAGTCGGGGTTTAAAACTCAATATTAAATACATTATTTCTATTTATTTTAATTACCTACAAAATAAAATTATCTCCACTTATAATAAATGGGCATACCTAAGTTCAAATACTAATATTAATATATTTTAAAAAAACATGAGAACAAAATAATGAAATTAGTATTTATTTTTTTTTTAAAAAAAACAAAAAAAAATTGCCGCCGAGCCCGCCTAAGAGCGCCTAGGGGCCGTCTAACTGCCACGCCGCCGAGCCCGCCAAGTCGACCTAGGAGCGCCTAGAGCCGCCTAGCCGTCTGATCGCTTTTTTCTGCCAATTTGAGCACATCGAAGGCGCCTGGGCACCGCTAGGGTTGTAAATGAATCGAATCAAAGCGAATACTCAGAGATTCGATTCGATTCGTTTAAAATATTCGAAGATTCGATTCGTGATTCGATTCGATAACGAATTCATTTTCTGATTCGTATTCGATTCGTTTAGAATATTCGAACATATTCGATTCGATTCGAAATTCGTTTTCAAAAAATATTATAATTAAAAAATATTATAATTACAAAAATAAATTTTATTTTTCATGTATTTTTAGAAAATTTAGTTAATTTATGATGTTTTTACTTTTTATGTCATAAAAATATTAGGAATATAACAATATATATATATACATATATTATAAACAAAATGTATATTATATATAATTTGTATAAAAATATTATAATTAATAAATATTATAATTACAAAAATAAATTTTATTTTTCATATATTTTAGAAAAATTTGTTAAATTATGATTTTTTTACTTTTTATGTCATAAAAATATTAGAAATATAACAATATATATATATATACATATATTATAAACAAAATGTATATTATATATAATTTGTAAAATTTATATAA